AGACGTGCTGATGTTCACGGGTGGGAGAGGTGCTCCTAAGATTAAAGAAAAGGAAGTAAAAGGATACATGCAAAAAGCGAGCTTGATGTATATCTTATTAACCAAGCGCGAGGGCCGTACTGGGAGAATATCGGCCCGAGGTCTTGACAGTACGGACCGAGCGCAGCGAGGTCCGTACAAAAAAGACCGAGGGCCGATATTCTTCCAGTACGGTCCCGAGCAAGCTTGGTTAATAAGAGATTTATTATACGACTGAAGTTCAAAGGGACACAAGAGTGCGGTATCATTCGGGACCATTCGGGACAGTGCCCGGTCCAATACTGAGAGAATATTGACCAGCAATAGAGCATTTTGATTGGTTGATTTTAGTTATTGGCCCTCTGACTGCCCGAGTCGTGTAATAATTAAACATATTTCCCCATAAGAAGTCTTCCTTCAAAAATCAACCTTGTTGGCTTCAAACCTGGCTAGTTTCAGATTAGAGAAATTCGATTTCTGCAATGAAGTAAAAAATTGTTTGTCTCACGATGTAGACACTTATACGTCGGAAATGATTCGACTGTCAGACCAACGAGTATGTTCCATTACAACTATCACCAAGAAGTTACGAGTGTCACCCTGCAATGTGGATATGAGAGTTCCCTAGGGGGATCCCCTCCTCGTGAGGTTTACACACCTGTCACAACCAAATACGACACCCTGTAGTTCTCACTGACTGGATTCTTCACAACGCATTGAAAGACGCCAAAGTCCTTCACTTTTAGATTTCGAATGGTGAGTATCCCAGAGGAGGAACTAAATGACCATCTGTTGATAAACTTTAAGCTGAAGATATAAAAAAGGCATGTTCGTTAAGAGACTTGAAATCAGCCGTATGGATTTTTATTTCTTCAAAGAACAATCCCCTTTTTAGTTGTACCTGTACTGAAGTTTCTCTCCGTTATAATACCATATCGGACTGCCTTTTAAGCCTCCGGTTGTGTTACAGAAAAGTGTCACGCTGCCACCATGTTTTCCCTCTCTTATGTCATAGAATGGATGGACCTCTTTATTGTACACCGGTTCTATTTTGTCTGTGGATAAAAACGGGCCATTAAAGCAAGAGTGTAGAAAGTCTGAACAACTAGAATCAAATCGCAATTGTCAACTGATTCAGACAACGAACATTTTAGGCACGCATTCGATACGAGCCAGCAAGAAATGGATGAATTATGAACATTTTCTCATCTGCGCTGGCGGTACCAGAAAACGCATCGAAAACGTACGAACCTATGACTTTTATAGTAGTAGTGATTTCCAGAGTCGCCCCACTGATACCGGCTACACATTTATAAAACCCATTGTGTGAATTTGAGCTAAGTGATCCCAGTCGTAAAGTTCTATTGAAATTAAGATATTGGAACAGATCTCCAGAGTCCTTGATCGCCACGTTGTCCTTGTACCAAAAAATGTCAGGTGTTACACTGGAAAGAAAAACAGAAACGTTTATTAGACGCAGGAATATAACAATCTAGTCAATTATGAAATCAAATATTGTGTGAAATTGTTTGTGTTAAGGTTGCTCTAGTTTGTAACCATGGTTTCAGTAGTTCATGCAGGTTTCAAAGCCTTGATGTCCTTGGTACCTTTCTCGTAACTTTTCAAGCAATTTTTTTTTTCAGTTTGCGTACCGTTGTAAGTGAAGGGCCCGCTCCTCAAGGCGCCACCCCATATTTGGATCATGTATTAAAGGGCGTTGAAAATGCGTTGCAGCGTTGCTGTTTTGGTCTATTGAAGAAGAAAATGATTCTACATCCTTCATTACTTGCTGTAATGAAAGTACAAGTTGCAACAAGATGTACGAAAAGAAAAGTTTTGCAGTGAAACAAGGCCTTAAAAACTATCAAATGATCTGACTCTTAGGCATTAAGTATTCCTTGTAGTTTACATACAAATATCCGACCTACCTTCCTCCTGCGGTACAATTCAGATAAAACTGACCTCCAGTAGCCAATGTGTACGAATCAGCCGGTGTCGTGAAGAATTTAAGGCTTGAATCTTGTGAATTTACTGAGACAAAACAGAAATAAAATGAGCGTATGTTCTGATTATTTTTTCCGAAAGCAATGCAAAAGTTCACGTTGTTCCAATCATAAACAGCTCACTTAAAACTTATAGAGAAGGCCTTCATAGCCACTCCCTGGGATGTCACGCAACATTCTATTCAAAGAGTTGCGTGACAACAGCTGCAAAGGGAACTATGCTTTGTTCTGACTGGGCGCAGATGATGTCATTATGAAGACAGCTGAGTATTACAGGGATGGAAACGTAAAAAGGAGTAACTGTACGCAAAGGAGATCTAGATTTTCTGTCCAAAATTGCTTTGGAAATCAAACCATTTCATGAAGCAGGCGAAAAGAAGGTGTCTTTTCAATATTCTATATCGAATAGCATAGAATTCGAGATCATCATAAATCGCTGCCTAATTGGTTGACGCAATTGCATTACTATCATTATAATTACTATCCTCATTATCAATATTTTTGATATTGTAATATTGAACAAAAGAACTCAGGAACACAGGATTGGAACACATCTTTTAGAAAAACAAAGTTGCCCTTGGTACCCCCCTAGGGAAGAGGTTACCGCCCCCTATAAACCTTACGAAGCCAGGGGGTGGTCCCTAGATTTAACCCTTTCCACCCTAACATCAGTTTGAAAATTCTTCATACTGTTCTCTAAACATTTCCTATGGTATTTACAAGGAGAATTTGTTTAACAATCACGAGCTTCTTTAATAAGTGATCATTTTCTTTATTCTCATGACTTCAGTCTTTAATCCAGGGGTTATATTTTAAGGAGAAATCAGACGTAAGTGACTCCTCGGGTTTAAGAGGTTAGAGGTCTTCCCCCCCCCCCCCCCCATGGAAGTGGTTACTCTGAGGGTAAACCTCATGAAGCCACTGTAGTCTCTAGATTTACAGATTCCTACGTTATTGAAAAGGCAACTTACCTGATCTTTTGCCGTGAAAATATATGGCCGGGCTTATTTGGGGTCTTACTGAATGAAGACTTCTT